GTGTGCGATTCTGGTAACTATAATAACTTACAAGAAAAGGGCGTGGGACAAAGCCGATTTTTGGGCCAAAATACGGCTTTTCAAAATTACCCAAGCTTTGGTGCTCGCAACTCGAAAGCTGATTATGGTGAAAGCCGGTTATGGTTTTCTAGGTACGGATGGGTTGTTTATTGGTTACTATTGGGCTCAAAAAAGTGGGCGTATTTCGGGTGTCGTGGGAAATCATAGTGTATTTAGGGTGCCCTGTTCGTATTGTTTAGGTTCTAGATTTGCTCGATGGGATCCAACCATATGCAAGATCACTACAAGGGTCTGCAGTTCAGTAGTGAGGGGTTGAGGGTCGATGGGGATTACGGGTCTAGACTACAGGGTGTGGTGGTGAAGATATTAGGCATTTAGAGCTTAAGGGTTCAGGGTTTAGGGTTGCAGGGTTGATGGTTTACGGGTTCACATGTTCTGGGGTTTAGGGCTTGGAGGTTTTGAATTTACGCTTTATGTTGTGGGTCTGGGGTTTTTCTCGTTTTTCGTTTAGGGGTTTGGGGGTTTATAGGTGTAGGTAGGTTGAGGGCTTAGAGGTTGAGGGTTTCAGGAGTTTAGTGTTTTGGTGTGTAGGCTTCGGAGATTTCGGGTTTGATCTCTTCTTCTTTCTTCCGTTTTGGTTCAAAGGTGAGTGTTTCTTTGTTTCTTCCTTCTGCCTGTCTATTCTGGGATTCCGAACCCGTGCCGCAAGCCTGCAAGTTCCGCGCCGTCGAGGTTGGTACTGGTGATAACCAGTGTACAGTGCCAGCCATTTCCCATTTGGGCTTTCAGTCTTTCTCCCTTGCCGTCTCTCTCATTCCTTTCTTGACACTGTCTTTCTTTCTTCCTTGGCCTCTCTCTGTTCACGTTCATCGTTTCGTTCTTGCTTTCTTTTTTCCTCCTCTCTCCAAAAACAAATGTCAAGAAACAAGAAGAACTCCAATCCAACAAGCAAACAGTTAGGCTACCCCTACATCAACACTTTGCTGAAACACAGAAGGCCGAAAGAAGAAGTCTCCATGGTGGAGGTAAATTACCACAACCCAACCGGAAGGGGAAAAGGGGCCAAGCCAGTGGACCAAAAAAAGGCACGGAGAGCGAAAGCGAAGGATGGAAGGTAAGCAGCGTCGACGAGGAGTGCCAGCCCGGAGCCGGGAATATGTGCTGGCTCAGCCACTGTCAAGAGGGCAAGCAGCGGAGCACACAATGCAGCTAATCACGGGCAATGCTCAATAGCGCACAAAGCATCGAATCAGGACATTGCGAGGCCAAGCAAGAGGGAACACCACAAGCACAAAGAATGGATAGCCGTCAGTAGCACACAAAGGTGCGCGCCCAAAACAGTTCGAGGCCAAACACGAAGGCGCGCTGCTTGCCACATAAATATCCTAGACTGCGGCTAAATGCTTAGAAAGGACAAATGCCAGGCTGCACAATTTTGACCAGCAACAGGCTAATGCCAACAGCACGTAATGCCATGCAGCAAGGCAGCACCACTGGCACCACGACGACAGGAATGGACCCCGACAAATAGCGCGCATAAAAGCATACCGCTGCAAAGCAAGGCCACGCACCAGAGATGATGCTACATGGGGAAAAATCTGTGCGGACAAAGGCATCCCAGCAACTGCGTGCGGTCAGGGTGGAGATTTGCACTATCCTGCAGCATCATGGTCCATCATGCCCCAGCGGCATCGAAACCAGCTTTCACTTGACATGAAACCTCTAAACCGCCAACCTCATCCCATAAAACCTTAAACCCTAAACTGGAGTGAGTCGGTGCTGTCTTGGCCAGTGGTGGGCGATACTGTGTAATAACAGCCCCTGGTGAGCCCGAGCAGATGATCGCGTTAGGCTGGCCCGAGGAGAATAACTTAACACCTTTCCGGTTCAAGTTGGACGTCTCCATCCATGGATTTGCCTTAAAGCTTTAGGCCTTTTGGAACCTAGAGTACCGCAAAAAACTCAAGTTTGTTAATCCTATTTCTCTTGCTTCATGTTAATATCAAACCGACCCTCCCTTGTCAAATGAAAGTGGAATTTGCCAGGAAACCTATTTGATAAAGGAATGTGTATCTTTGCCCAGCCGAAAAGCGCAGTATTTAGGTACTGGCCTGGCATATGGGCTTTATCCCAAATATCGGCCAAATAGGGTTGTTTTCAAAGAAAAACAACGTAACAACAACCAATGGACATCGAATAGACAACAACAAAGTACCAATAGAACACCAGTAGAGAATCAGCGAAAACCAACGAACAATCTTTGAAATCAATCACAGCCAGTAGAAACCAATATCAACCAAGAAGAGACTGTTCAGCATCAGTACGAGCAACAATCGGTAACGCAAGACTGATAGGAAAGCAGTAGAACCCAATTGAAAACCCAACAACAACCAATAAAAGCCAATAGCACACGAGTGGAAAATCAAGAATAATCAGCACAGACCAATACAACTGAATAGCTCCAAAACAGCTTTGAAGGCCATTACAGCACCAGCAGAAGAGGAGACAAATGTTTCCTATATACGTTGCCAAGTAGAAGAGCATGAGAAACGCAAAAATAAATGAGGCCAATTTTGGGAACGATGAGGGGAGAGTCTTCACGAAACTTCTTTTATCAAGGCCCCCCCAAAACCAAGACAGATCGAGGCTCGGACGCAAATCCTTGGTTCTTGGGAAGCACAAGCTGGGCTTTCTTTATAGAAGTTTTTTTAGAGACGTTAGAGAGGATGAACATTGAAGCCAAGAAGGAATCTTGCATTAATCAAAATGGTGAGTGGAACACAGGATAAGGATTCCTTTAAGAGCCAAGACAATTGGATAAATAAGGGACGCTTACCGCCTGCGGCGCTTTTGTTCTTTTCGCAAGAGGAGGGCCGCGCGGGTTGGGGAGCCACGTGCAGACTTTCAGCAGATGGATTTGGGGTGATTGGGGTGGAGACTCAGGGGAGATGCTTAGCCTTAGCCTTCTGCACACTGTCCAAAGGAGATTCCAAGGAGCTTTCTCGGCTGGCAAAGGATTTGGAGAGGATAATCAAAGGGGAGGTCGTTCTATGAGGACAGGCGCGCCATGCTTGCGGACAAAGCATGCGGGCACGATGCACCGCGTGCGTCATCGTGCGTTCGGGAAGAAGCGTGCAGCGGAGATTCCTGGGTGCAGAAAGACCGAGAGGAGGGGCTGCCGCAACAGTTTTTCCAGCAACACCTCCAAAAAAAAGGATTTGAAGAGGAAGGTCAGGGGGGTGCACTTTGTCCGTCGCGTGCAGGGACGGGGCACGACGTGCGTGGCACGTCTGGGGTGAAGCGCAGGGCGCGCGGCGCATTCTGGGAGAGGCACTGGACAGGAAGGGCGCGTCAGGGGGGAGGGCATGTCGCATTCGTCGAGCAGAGGCGAACCCATCACGCGGTGTGTTGGGAGGGATGCGGCGAATGCACAGTGTGTTTGGCGAGAGGAGTGCCGCTCCCGGCCCACTTGGGAAAAGGCCCACCTTTCACGGGGCGGGCTCTGGGAGAGGCGTGCAGATTCGGAGGAAATTCCTACAAACGAGGCTCAGAGGAGATGCTGAGGCCCAGGCAGGAATTTCAGAGGAGACTCAGGAAATCTTCCTGGTTCGCAGCAGATCTGGAGCGGACAATCAGACAGGAGGGGCGTGGCGCGACCTGGATGCAAGTTTCACTCTTTTTGCAAGCCGGTTCACGAGCTTTAGAAAGTAAGAAAGACCTGGGAAACCGGTTCAAAACGCGAAATCCCGTAGAAAAATCAGAAATCTATGTAAGCAAGGAAATTCCTAATTTTGTTTGAATTGCATGTCGAGTTTTCCCTCTGAATGGTTGTATAGAACCAGAGTGAGGAATGTCTGTGAAATGGAGGAAATTCCTGGACTTGTGCCTCAGATTGTTTGGGACAACTTCCTTTAAACAAGCCATCCAAGAACACAGTTCCTGACTGGTTGCAACTACTGTTTTTCTTGAAGTTATTCTACGTTGTTTCTCTCGCAATTTGCAAACAACCAAGAAAAGTAAAACAACAACGCCAAGTAAGTTTCCAGTTTTAAGCAAATTTGCAGTCGATTCTTGTAGAAGATTATCTTCTTGACGCTTTTTTTTACAAGCTCACTTCTGACAACTTCATACCAGAGCAGGGCAGATCTCGGAAATAAACAACATCCGTAATTGACATGAATTTCTCGAGGTTTTTCGACATGTTTTCCTTTCGAAGCAGCATGTTGCTCCCAGAAATAATCACATATGTCCCAAATATGATTGTGTTTTTGGGCTGCACACCATTTAGCCCATTAATCGTGTTAGAGTGCAGGAGTTAGTGTTGACATGTTCAAGGTCTGCATACATGGGTGTAGGGTTTTGGTTGCAGGATATACTTTCGATCTCTTATTATTTCTATGATTCATATTCTTATTACTATTACTACTAATTGTTATTGATCTTATTCCAATTATTACTATTATTACCATTATTATTAATGTTAACGGTTCAGGCTTTAGAGATGCAACAAATGTGAGTTTCGAACTTATGCCTGCCAATCAGTACTTTTGTTTGTGGTGAGGCGTTAACTAATAACCAACACGTCGATTTCGAGGTGTAGGGCTTAAGGCTGGAACATTTGTTTTGTACATCTTGGGTTTTGACCCGGCTTTGGATCTAAGCTATATTTTAGTTTTGAGGATTGTCATCTTTATCTTAGGGTTTCAGATTCAAACTTCAGATATGCCCACGATTCTAAATATTTTCTTTGGTAAGACGACAATTCAGTTAGTTGTGTTGGAGCTGTAGGGTTTCAGATGTAAATCATTTCATTGGGTTGGCAGGCAGCAGGCTTGCAGCAGGCAGACGGTCTGCACTCGCTTTGCTGAGACATTTATGCAGTTTGCTTCAGAAAGAGACCAACTGATTAGTTCATTCAGCCATTTCAATATCATGACTTCTTTGTTATGCTTTTGGGCGAATATTTGTTGCGAGAAACTCATTTTGTTTTGAGGGTTGGGGTTTGAGTCAGAATTTCGCGTTAATTTGAGACAGAGTCTGGATGTTGTCTAGTCAGGTTTCCAGCTGTTTTCGTCATGCCAATGTCTCAGCTTTCTAGTTAGTATTTAGTAAGCCTATGAAGTGGTTACTGTGAGTAGCATTACTATTATAATATGAATAACATTGATAGGCACATCACAAAAATGGGATTTTTGCAAAACTCAAGTAGCCGTTACAACAATGCCAATCGCAGGAATGCCAGGAGGAATCTTATAGTAGTAACCATAGTCACAGTAATCATAAGAGGTTCAGAAGTAACACTGACATTGAGATCCCATAGTTGTTTTAATCGCAATACTGGTAGTAGTTCGAATCGTTCTTGTACTTCAAATATCACGCAAGGTAGCTGCGCTGCTTGCAGCTTGCAAGAGTTTCTGTTTACCAATATAGCCTCCTGGGGCATGGACAACTTTGGGACAAGTTGGTCCAATGTATCAGAGTTTTGAAGGTAAGCGTGTGGGGGGGGGGTGGGCCTGCCCCAGTGTCCAATATATCAGGCGATCCCCGTGAAAGGACAAGAAATCTCCCATTGTGGGGAGGAGGCCGTCCCTTCCCCCCAACCCCCCGTGGACCCCCCCCATCTAGGGTTCGATTCTTCTTTGAATGAGCGGGTTTTCGGTCATGACTTTGCAGGCTTGCGAAAGATTGGAGAGTAGCATTGGGACAGGCATAGGGGACAGCATTGGTAAACCTACACGCTGATTTCTTTTGGCAAGCACAGCAGACAGTATTGCTATTAGACCTACACGCCGCCGATTTCTTGGAAAACTGGAGTAGAACCTGGACATTTTCGTCAAATTTACATTTTATTGACAGCTTGCTCGGAGGAAGCAGCTGTTATTGTTGGCACGCTTTCGTGTTATCCACTGCTTGCTTGGAGGAAGTCGAGAGTCGCAGGCAGACTTCGAGTTGAGGGGAGAGGGTCAGTGATTGTTTCTTTCGGGCAAGCTGTTGACAACACGGAAGCCTGCTCAAGGTTTTGATCTGGTTTTGAAGATCAAGGTGTAGGTCTAGCAGGTCTAGTAGCAATACTGTCCGTTGTGCTTGCCCGAAGAAACCAGCATGAAGGTTTACCCATGCTGTTCCCTATGCCTGCCAGAATACTACTCTAAGACTGCTCTAACATCGGCAGGCCAATATTTCAATGGAAACCTGCAAAGTCATGACTGAAAGGCATGCGCAGACATTTATTTGAACCTGGCTCATTTAAAGAAGAACCCTAGACGGGGGGATCGAGGGATGCATAGGTGGGGGTGTTAGATCACAGGAGACAAGCCGGACGCATTTTTTACGAATGCTGATCGAATGTTGCCCAATGGTTGTGCCTGCACAGCGGCCGTGTAACACACAAGAAGGGCGATTACGCAAGATTATAAAGGGATATATAGGGATTCTATTGTAACAACGGAGACTCAAATGGAGAAGAGTCTGGAGCAGACAGTGGGATTGCCCAGCGGTTTTTGAGGGCTCTATGGGGCGCTTTATAGCATTAGGTTCTGTAGGGATACTCGGGCAACACTCGATCAACATGCGTAAAAAATCCGGCTCGCTTGCCCTGATCTAGCTTTCGTCCGCGCTTCTTTCAAGTTTACGTGGAATATATATGCCGACCCCCAAAAATTCCGTTTCCCCCAAAAGGATGGAATTCCATTGGAGAGAAAGAACCCCACCCGCGTCATACGCACAGGTGCATGACCTCTCCCTTCATACTCACAGGAGGAGAAGGAGCGGCCCCCCTTCATATTCGCAAGAGAACAGATTTATACAGTAGCTCTTCAAAACTTTAAAACAACAGCAGCCATCTCAACCGCGAGCACTTCTGCCTGCTCTACTTCTATCGCATGGGGGAACCTCAGGAAGCTGGAAGACCTGGTCGGAAAATTCACACGTTTGCTGGCAGAGCAGCTTGATGAAGCAGTGTAACCACAAGAGCCCTGACAAGAAGTTCCACAGCATCATCAGCAAATTGCTCTAGCTTAAAGTGCGCTGGAACCTTATCCAGAAGCACAGAAGAGCAAACAGCAACAGGCATAACAACATGAAAGCCCCGCACCAGAGCAGTGCTTGTGAGCCCATGTTGTATCGCTCAAGCATGGTGTGCAACTGCTGACGCTGCGGATCCACGGCCCCTTTAGTGGCCAAAGAAGGATGCCTCACGCATGCTGTGCTACCTGCAGAAGAGAAGAGAGGAACACAAATAAGGTCCATTGTCACAATCACCAACATAGTCGTGCAAGCATCTGGGTTACAGTTTCAGCTGCGGAGCAGAACGGATGTTAAAGTAGCTTGGGTTGATGGGGACAGGCCTTGGTGCAAGGACCGACAAAGAAAACCAAAAGAAACTTCTGAAACTCCAGGAATTTCAAATGCACATCTCTGCCTCATTTTGCTTTCCGCGCATCATGAAAAGCGCTGAATTTGAAGATCGAAGAAGCAAGAAGTGGGTCATACTTGTTCTCCATATCCTGCACCGTGCCATTACCAAGAGTTTCAGAGAGCAGACGCAATGTCAGTGTGGCTCTGACATGTAATAATGCATTGTCATGGCTGATGTAAATATCCGCGTGCCTAAAATGGATGTAACCGATCCTGGCTTTAGCCCTGGAAGGCCTCGGCTTCTGCTGCAGTGGCGTCTTCGCCCTCTACTGATTCGTCAGCTGAGGCCGGCTTAAGGAGATGGGCCTTCCAGGTCCATCAGTCACTCTGATCCTTTTTGCATGTGCAGAAAACTTGCTTTCGATGCGGCTTGGCAGGACGTTTTACAAAAGTTTATGAAAAGTTTTGAGGAGGCGGCAGGCGGCGAATGGTCTCTGATTTTTGGGACCAGAAAAGGTGCTCCATGCACAGGCTCAGACAAGGAATTCGAGAAGTCCATGTCGACTTTGATGTCGTGTGCACCTTACATCAACAGCTGCAACAGCCGTGAGACACTGTACATCCGCTCAAGATCGATGCTGTCCACAGAGCTCTTGACAGAGCCGCTGCAGCAGATAGCGGACAAGCCACAACCTCGAAAATTAATGTCTAATTCCTTTTCCTGCCTGTTGCACCATCGACCGGTTAGCATGCTTCTGAGGTTGGAGCCTTATCTGAAAGAGAAGAAAGGCACGGCTGGCAGCGCTGCCGTGGGAAGATGAACGGTCAGTTGCACGCTTGTTTTGGGCAGGTCTGTCAAAAGCAGACAGGACACGATACGAGGTGATGCTTGACATGTAAAACTTGAGAAGCGGGGCCACACAAACTCAGTGCCTCTTGCATTGTTCGCAGGCTCAACTGAAACTGTACAGACAGATAGTCAGCGTCTACAAGTGTGCCCGGCTACAACTCGCAAGATGTTCGTCATACTTGGTGACAACATGATCGTTTTGCCAGGCAGAATCCAGATCCCCTTCCAGACTCTGCTCGAGATCAGGCACCGGTTATCAGGTCTGCAGGTGAAGCTGGACATCTCTTGGCATCCATGGAAGAGCTGGGCTTGATTCGGATGGAGTAACTCATTACCCTTTCCCTTACTACCGCGGCAAGGATGGCCGACAAACAAAAACCCAAATCACCTTGAAACAAAGCGTTTTTGGGCCTTATTTGTGGGTGAGGTAGCAAGTCCCTTAACGATTTTGAGCTTGGGTCTGAAGGTGCAGCGAATGCTGAACGAGCTACAGCAGCTTGGGCAGCCGCCGGATGAAGTTATGGCCCAGGTCACTGCGCGGCGATTTCATCTTTTCTCATTAAGCCTTTCTGGCATCGGCATTTAGCATTTCCCTGAAAGGTCGTTCCGCAAGAAGCGGCAGAAGGAGCCGAATCCTTCGAGGCACGTCCTTGTCGCTAAACCTACAAACCTTAGTGCCTCTTGTATAGCTCTGCATTCTCTGCAGTGAGAGAGTTGCGTGAGGGGCATTGCAGATTTGGAGCTGCAGAAGTTGCACTTGTCTTTTCAGGACTTCATGAAGAACATGGGCCTCGACTCGCAGCTCGCTGGACCTGAGCAGGACTTCATCAACATGCCTCCAAAGCATCTTGTTTTGTTGCGTGCAGTGGTCGGCCCCTTCTTCCAAGAGAGAGCCGCGGGGTCTTTCTTTGCGTGAGTTTCGCTTTTGACACGGAATGTATTGTGCACTGCAGGAGCTTTTCAAAAAGATTGCCGATGATCCAGAGGCCACGTAACATCTGTAACCTTCAGCCAGTATGCTATTTTTCAATCCGTAATGGTGCCACATTCTTCGGTTTGTTGGATTCTCGTGGCTTGCCCGTCTAGGAGCTGGCGAAAGTGATGAAAGAGATGACTGGAGCCATGCCTGAGGAGGCGAGGCCCTGCATAGCGCAACAAAGGTGTCGGAGATGAGATTGTAAAATCGATCCCGCAGAATGCGCCTGGCAGGCCTGCAAGCAGCAATGAGGCAAGGGGTCTCGGGATAAAGATATCCTACTACGACTGCCTTGTGAAACAACGGAGCCATGCGGTTATATGCGACTGACGATGCGAACCTCTAGAAATGCATATCCTACTTGGGGCGATAGATACAGGGACCTATAAAACCTTATTTCTCTCGAAGATTTTTTGAATAAATCCTTTTCCCCCAAAAAATAAATCAGGGCGAAGATCCCAAATAATATGCATAGAAACCATGCGAATGGAAATTATAGAAGGCGTTCAATAGTTACCCGCTTAGAATACGAAGAACAAGTAGCAACGATTAATGATTGCAGATAATATTTATATAGCCTTATGAGTATATTGGCGGCAGGACTTATTATTATTGATCTATTTGGTTTCGATTCTATAGGCTCGATGCTCTGATTGATTCTTATATCGATATATTTTTTGAAGATTTCGGATAAAGAATGCCAAAATGGCAAGACGCTACTATAATTCAATGCGATTTTTGAATTTCTTAGATTCGGGATATCATTTTTAGAGAATAAATTTGAATTTTTCCAGGCTTAGATAAGAAGGATTTTGATCCTGCTTTTTAAGCTGATAGATCTTTGAAAAAGATAGAAACAATTGATATTGAAGGGATAAATACAATTTATTTCGTTTCTCTGTTTATTTTTCAGCATTAAGTAATTCTATGATATAGCTGCTACGACCTCGTCCTTCTCTTTTCTGTTATTGCTTTTCTTGCTTTCGGGCGGGGGTTCACGGCTGGAATATGAATACCGAATTTTTTGACGATTCTCTTTCTCGCAAACGAAGATGAAGATATCTAATTGCATTTCTTGGAAATCTTATATACCCAGATTTCTTTCTTGAGATATAGATCCTAGATCTCCAAACGACTCAGAATCGATTCTTCCCATCTTCCCTTGCAGACTACGTTCTTGGCGCATCTATTTCTTTCTGAGAAGACGATATCGAAATTTTTTATTTCAAAAAGATCTAAATATATACGGCATTCGGTCAATAGATTTAAAAAATTAGAAGAAATATTAATTCGTTTGTTCCATATAAGATTCCTAATACTAGATTTCTAGATTCTGCGCGGGATTGCCGTAGATAGGCTGATGACGATTAATTGAATTATCTATCATCCCTAAAATGGCTGTGCATATCTCATGAATCCATATTTTATATCAATATATTTCTTTCAGAAAAAGGCAATATAGATTATATATTTTTCTTTAATTATTTAAATGAAATCACGAAAGATATAGAAATAGATTATTATCATTACTTCTTTCATATTATGGTAAATTATAAAATTCTATCTTGAAATTTGAAATTTATATAGATATTCCTCAAATTATGAGAGAATCTGAAATATTTGCTCATACTCTTAAAGATTTTGATAATTCTTCAGATTTCGAATCATGCTTCATTCATCTTTATTAGGCTAAATATTGCGCGACGGATCGAGAGAGCGCTTGACAAATACGATTATTTCGGATCTATATATTCCGTTGATCAAATATGCACGCAAGCAAAGAAAGAAATAAATCACGCTCAAAATCGTTTTGGGGAAAGGACCGCGCGACCAAAAATCTCCGAGATTTTTGGTCGCGCTGCCCGCACCAAAAATCTTGGATATTTTAGAATCTCTAGCTTTTCTGAAGGACTCTAAAATCTCCGAGATTTTAGAGCCCCTAGGGAGCCCGCAGGAGGGATTTTAGAGGCGAATCAGAAAGGCTAGGCTGCGCATCGTCGAAATAGGCAAATAGTCGCAAAATGGCCGCGCCGTAATATTGAACATATATAGAATGAGCTCGAGATTATGAGATAATTAAATAGATAGAGATAGAAAGAGAATGAAATATATAAAGAGAGATCCTTAAATTGATATAAATGAGAAATAAATAGATAAATAAATGAATAGAAAAATAAATAAAGATAGAAATAATAAATAGAGAGATAAATAAATAGAAATAAAAATATAAAGAAACCATATCGAGAATATTTATCTAAATAATCTTCATCTTCTAATAAGCAAATTTTATTTCAAATTTTTGATTTCTTAAAATATTGATATTTTTCGATTTTAATTTCTCATATCAATCCAATATCCTATTAATATAGCTAGAAATAAATAATCATAAAGATTATGAGAATATTTTTTTTATGAATTTGATCATTATCTTCATTCTTTTATAATCGTCGTTATTAAATCGGAACTTCTGGGCTGGAGACCTTGGGTCTCAGGAATAAAAATCATCCGAGATTTCGGATCATTTCTTTCTCTTTGGCTATCTGCGCCCCCCCCCCACCCCCCGGGCGGTCTTCCGCGAGATTCATATCGCATTTATCCACGGATATTTTGATATTCTTCCGATCCGCCGCGCATCATCCCAAGAAAGAGAAATGAAATAGAAAGATCCGGTCGGAGATCGTGGACCGCACGATCAAAAATCTCTCGAAATTTCGAATCATTTCTTTCTCTTTGGCTATCTATATAACGATTCGACGGAATATATAGATACGAGATATAAAATTAAAATCTTTCAGATTCTATATATTAACCATTTTTGATCAACGACAGAAATGCCTGCGGCTAGCAAGATCATCATTTTCTATTCAGGCTCTTATAGAATGAATGATCTGATGATATTCTCCCTTTCTATAGATTTTCATGAAATATCAAGGGAATAGAGCTCCCGCCTCTGTCAGCCAGATAAATAGAGCCAGATCACGATTCGGAATTCGAATTGAAATTAGACCTTCATATATATATAGAAGATTATATATAGATATATATAAAATAGATGATAGAAATAGATCGTATCAAATTGCCTGGGAAAAATCATCAGATTCTGGGAGATCTCTCCAGATTCTTGGGATCGAATCCATAATCGCGTCCCTTCAGGAATGCCTAGAGATGAAGACCTGCTTCTTGGAGGATCAATTTGATAGATATTACAATATCCCCAAATACGCAATTCTCTCAATTGAGGCTATCCTGGCAATCTTCAACTTCAAAATATCGACACTTATTCAGGATTCGGGATATCAAGCTATAAAGACATAAAATTTGGAATTCCATATATTTCTTTTCTTCCGCATCAACTCATTTGCCATTACGAATACACTCTAATGACGATACTCTGCTGCTATAAATAGCGGATCCATTCTAGCATTATTATTGGGAATCTGGAGGATTGATAGCTGCGGAATTTGCTGAGAAGAAGAAAATTTGATAATCATAAGACCTTCGATAAATCGTCAATGAATCTGATAATCGATAAAATAAAAATTATTCGACGGAATGAATAAATCGTATTCTTTTCTGAGAACTTATATCAGATTTATTTGATTGAAAATCTATATCTATATAGGTCGATCTAAATATTTGAAATTATTTCCTGAAATTATATCCGATATCTATATCTAAGAAATCAAAAATTTAAATCTTAGATTCTTAGAAGATTTCAAGATAAAATTTTCAAAGAAAATCTATATGAATTCCATATAAAATCATATTATAGATGATCTTGAAATCCTAGATTTCTGGCGAAAAATATTATCAATTTGGAATCTTGGATGATAGATTCTGAATATATTCTTATTCTATGATATTTTCTATTCTCGAAATTTTTATTTAGAATATTCTATCATTAATGAGAAAGGAAATAAATGACCGGAAGAATTCTGATCTATTAGCAAGATCAATGATTTTGCTCTTGAATCAGGATTCGGATTTATCAATTTCAGATCTTCTATTTTATCTTAGAATCTCGAATATATTGATACGATTCATAGATTTAGAATTTTTATAGATTCTAGATGAAATAAGATTTTTAATAATATTTGAGATTTGGAGAGCTGCTAATTTATCGAGAAGATTCAAAATCCTACGAGATCCTCATCCTGACAAAGATCTCTCTATAAGGTCTTGAGATCCTTAATATAAGATCGAAGATATCTTCTTTTCTTCTTGGGAATCAAATATCTTTATCTATATCTCATTTATATCGAGATGAGAATTTCGCATCGATCTCCAATATAATCCGATATCGACGATAGATATCTAGGATTATTACGAAATTTGGGTATTTCAATAAGGCAATTATGCTCATTGCCTAGATTGATTTGACTATCTCTGAATCCTCGCGACCGACGCTCTGCAAATGAGCTAGACACTTTCATATTATCGATCAAATCCTTGCAATTATTATCTCCATCGGTCAAAATATAATCTCGATTTATCTCTTTGATCAATCTCTATTTATCTATAATATACGAATCATATCGATAGGAAGATCCTTCTTTTTAGATTTGATGAATAGAAAATAGATTCTGGTCAGATATTTGACGCCTGATATCCTTGATTCTGATAGAAGATTAGATATAGGGACTGACTTTCCGGCGCAGGTCGATATCTTCCGATCTTTTTTAATTAATTATTCTATTTATGCAATGAATCGCTCTTCATTAAATCCGGAAAGATCGTAAGATACGACTTAATCCCCTCTGCTTCAAGCAAATCGTCGCCTCGCAACTAGACCTTCAAGATTACGGAGGGATTGAAGCTTTTCGATTTAGGGGAGAGATTTTTTGATTTTTGGTCTAGGATTTCGGGATTTAGGATTTGAAATTGATTTCTAGGATTTGGAATTTAAGAAAGATTTACGATTTTTAGGATTTAAGATATAGGATTTTGGCGTAACGATCTGCAGAGATTCTATGATTCCTATTATGATCTCTAGAGGCATTTCCATTTTTAGTTTTATTGAGAGAATATTTGAAGATTATCAAAATCCAACATTTAGATAATTAACCTTGGAAAATAAGAAATCTTATATATTCTCTTCCTTCGGATGAGCTCTTGCTGGAGAGGCTCCTTCTATCAGCTTCCACTACCTCCGAGCGGAAGATAGAGCTCTTACTATTAAACGATACTTCTGAGAAAGATAAAGCTGATTTATGCCTCCTTAGAATATATATCGATATAATTTCGAGCGGAA